ATGCAGAGGTGGACACAGAAGTAACACCCACTTTTCACTATTCATGTTGTGAGTCCCATGTAATAGGGGGTGAGCCTATTGCCATATACCGGGCACATATCCAGACTCCGTGCTACTACTGAGATTTTTTTTAAAACCCAGTAATAATTTACCCGACCCGGGAATCGAACCCGAGACCCTTTTACCCGGCAATCGCACTTGCGACCACTCGGCCAACGAGGCAGTCTCTCAGTCTCAGTCTCATTAGATATTGTTATAATAAAAAATGAGCATATAAATGAATTCCCACTCTTGAATCTAATTATTTATTTAAAATCGCTAATTTAATAAAATCTCGTTTTTTTTATTAAAATACTAATGCAAGACCACACACCTCAATTAAATTTATAGTAGTCAAGCAGGAAAGAAATGAATAGGTCAATGTATATTGATTTCTCTAATTGATATTTATTTACTAATATTGACTTTCCGCCTGCAGATTCAATCGCGTCATAGAATAATGTGTCTTTCTGCATCACCCTAAGGTTGACTGTTAGAGAATACCACTAGACATTAAGACCGCCATAACATTGTCTGTACATTTTTTTTTTTTTTAAGGCGGGAAAATCATCGAATGACTGCTCCCGCCTGGGTGAGGCGGGAGGGAGTGTCAGACCCTTACTGACTAAAAACCACCCCGTTCCTTCTCCTGCACGTCGAGCCGGAGCCCCGGTTACCCGTTAGGTTCTCCGCGACCTCTGCATCATAAGGTTGACTATTAGAGAATGCCACTAGGCATTAAGTCCGCCATTGTATACCCATTGTGAAAGAAGGGTAAATAAAAAATAAAATAACAATAAATAGTATTTACACTCTACAAGTGGAATTTATGAGATTTCTCAGATTCTTATTTTAAGAATTTATTTTTCATAAACATAAAAAGAATTCAACAATTCACTTAAGATATGAGAAAACATGATAACTCAAGCTCAAGCAAGCGGGTGGAGCGGGCGGGTACATTAAAATTGTTTCTACTTACATAAAATTCATTAATAATGTGGGTATTAATAATAAAAACAACTTAAGATAAAGAATATAAAGGAAATGAACACGCAGGTGTCACAATTGAGAATTCTTTTAAATAAGGTATTCACAAAAATTAAGGTTTATATTACGCTTATATTTCTCTCAAAAAGATCCATATCTTGTAGGCAAACCCAGATAAAAATTTGCCTATATTACACCCTGAACAAAAGGCTTTCTGACGGTGAACATTTATCGGTTCAACGGCAATCTATTTTGTAAGTCTTTTTCGCTTCACTATTTCGTAAGTTATTTATTACTTTAATTACTTAAAACCTAGTGAGTGCCCTAAGCAAGCACTTCCTAGGCGCCCGCAACATTTTGGCAACGCCGGCGCCGGCGCCGCCTCTCTGTGACGCCAGTGGCGCAACTATACTGTTCGAGGCCCGTCGCAAATTCATAAGATGGGCCCTCGTTCTTAAACTGTCAAACACCGCGAGGACACCGATAACCGCAACCTATTGTTCTTTAATTGGGTCTATAATGACGGTACTCAACGAGAGAATAGACAAGAGAGGAGTTCAGATGAAACCGCTGAATCCACGAAGAAGGGGCCCCTTCCAGCTGGGAGCCGTGGCATTTTGCCGCCTTACCACCATTTTGCGCCACTGCCTGGCGCCCTGAGTAGTTGCCTAGTTTGGCTTAGGGATAATATGGCTCTGACTGACCTAGGGAACATAGGTTTGGCGTTAAGACTAAATTTCAAAGCGCTGGTAGCCTCGAATAGGTAGTCATGTCTCTGATTGATACAAATATACAATTTATTATTACATTATATAATAATACCTACGTCTAAATGTCAATAAGATTTATTGACATTAAAATAATTAATACTAGAAGGTGGAACACTGAAGGTGACCGAGACGATCTTTCGGCTCCTATCCTAGACCATATTGCGAGGGGCCCGATTTAATTCAAGTTTATATGTGCAACGACCTTAAATAAATTACCTAGTTCCAATGGAAAGGAAAAATAATAAAAAATGACATTTAAAATATGGTGATATAAGTAAATAAGTACGGGTGTTGCCGTAGACTGTTTAAAGGGGAACCAATATGATGTATTAAATTATTTTACGGTTATTAGGGGATATTGTGTAATAAGTTTACTTATAATGTGTACCTGCATTTATTGTATTAGGTGTGCCTGTGATGATAAATGTAATGTTTAAATAAATATATAAAAATTAATCTAAAGGAGACATACTAAATTAAGTAAAATAGTTCAGTGAGCTGCGTGACGTCGCCGCGACCGCGCACGCTGCTCATGAGGAAGAACCCCTCTGTGGTTCGAAACTAGTAGAGCTTTTCTCAGTATATTCACGTGAGTAACCCGCTTAATTTAATCTAAAGGACCCGATGGTTTATTGGAGCAATCAAGCAATATACAAGTTATGAACTAACTTACCTTACTAACACCCGAATACTGAAAGGCTACTCAATTTTAAGTTGTAGGTACTTAAATATCGTGCCGTCTCTGTCATTTTACAAAGAGTTTGTAGTGACAGAACTATAATTAAGCGCGACTTACAATTGATTGACGTTTGAGTAAAAATAATAATACTAAGTTCGATTTACAAAAATTCGCGCCAAAAGAATTTGTCGAATGTTATTTTTTTATTGGAATTACTTACAAGATTGTTTTTATTGAATCGTAAAATTGTTGATTAATAAATTGACGCGGACATTTAATTCCGGATTCTTTTATAATGTGGCTACATACATATTTTAAAATGTAGGTACTTTCGAGATCAATTATTTAATTCCATATACGATTAATATGATATATTAATCACGTGACCAGTCGAGTGGATCGAGTTATCCTTCTTTAATATATCTGTGGAGTTATCGCACGATAAATTGAGCGTATCTAGAAAATTGAAAATCCGAGAAGAAATGGAAGCTGTAATTAGTTATTAGTCAATGACAATCAGCTCTCATCTTACCAAAAGAGTCCCATAACATAGAAAAGTGGCTAAGTATATTCTACTGAATGCACCACATAACTTGTTTTTGTACTTTGTCCGACCCAGAGACCAAACCTGCGACCACGTGTTCTCTGCTCGCATTTTCATAACCACGAGGCAGTCTATCCGCTCCTAATATTAAAATGAACATTAACATACTTAGGAGTGCCCCCGTCTTCGATTGCGCAATTATATTATAGTTCATTAACTTCCGCTGAATTTAATATATTCAACATATTATATATGTATGTGTATGTACAAATATTCGTACCACGTAACAATATCGACGGCATTCATTAAATACTTTAAATGTGACGCGTTTACTACGAATAGTAAGATGAATCACTGCGAAAAGTTTGTTTTAATGTGGTGTAATTATTAGGTACATATTATTGGTGTGTAGTAACGAGGAAAGAGACCGCAATACCACAAAGGACTTTTCTTCTCAAGCTAAAGAAAATTTAAAATAATTTTCCTAATGTTTAACTCGTCGTGTGACATAATTAATTTTCTATTGTGTCTCTTATTGTGCATTCAAGCGGTTAAATGTCTGACGGCCCACCCCCTATTACATGGCACTCATAACATAACTAGTGGTAAGTGGGTGTTACATTGTACAGTGACATTAAGTGCCGTAATGTGCACCTCTGCCTACCCCTTCGGGGATAAAAAGAGTCATGTTATTGTATGTATGTAAGTACCGTAAAATGACAGTCTGGACAAAATTTCAAAAGAAGACTATACCTTACGTTTCGATGCGCTTTCTCAAGGGCGAAACGTAACAAGCAGAATGTTGTAATAGGGATGATGATGGGAAACGAAAATTAAAAATCAATTTAGTCCGTCAGTTAGGTAATGAAAAATATTATCCGCGTATTTTTTTAGTTTGTCGTATAATAAAACAATACATAGATAAAATGACTCAAAGTTTAGAAGTGGAAGCTAAAACGTCATTTCTACGTAAGTATAAAGCCCTAGAAGTGACATCACGCGACATTTTAAAAATCAACACATCGTCGAAATTATTTATTTTTGTAAGAAAATAAAAAACACGTCTCTAATGGCTAAAAAAACTACTTCTTCTACCAGACGGACAATAAAATAAACATTATTCATCTACCCTATTCTTGTAACCGCTTAAATAAAAATGCACTCTGAACAATTTCGACTAGCCAGTTAAATTCCGAGCGATGTCCTCGGAATAACTTTGAGATGGCACGTGCTATGCTATCAAGTATGAGACAAGTACAGACCTGCACGACTGACTGACTTTTTATTCAATTGAGAATAATAAGCCTAACAGTCTTACTTCTAAAAATAGACCGAATCGATCAAATACTAGTCGTAAATCTAGGTGCCATCCACTATCCACTAACAAAGGTAAACTTTCATAATACCTCTAGAAAGTACCTAGTTTATTAGGTGACTAGTAGGGTTTTTTCATGGAGTCAGACGCATCCGGCAATCTCATTAGTATTTAAGCTAATTATAAAAAATAAATGTGAATATGCAAAGATAACCTATGCCTACATTACATAGATGGGTAGGATAGGAATGGGGTGAATAAATATTAGAATATTTTCCCAACATTTATTCACCCCTCTTCTGTATCTATTCACCCCTCGAATTCTATTCACCCCGTTTGACGGTACGTAGCTCGTAGGTAAGTCTCTTTAGGCAAACAAGCAAATTTTGTAAAGACTGGAATTGTAAATCAGCCAGTTATATTAAAATAAAACTGCACGCAAAACGCTTTACTTCCTAAAGATCAACAATGCATGCTTATTATCACGTACGCACACATGTGTTGAAACAAGAAAAGTCATTCTGGCAATTCGTTTGTGACCTGAAGGAGCATTTTTTGCTTCATTTCAAAACAAGCAAAAGTTTGAATGGGAATGACGCATTGTAGGTAGAAGTTCCACTCTAATAAGAGAGCTTTGGGAGCACCCTGCGATACGGTTATGTGTAAAGCTCAGTAGCGTGGCGCCCCAGTTCCGAGTTGAGGGGCGGCGCGAAGGCACAACTACCGCAGCACCGCGCTACCGCACGCGACTGTACTTTATCACACTTTATCGGAGCAAAAAGTTCGCAATATTATCAAACTTCTTTCTGATTACTTACTTTTTTCGAACAAACTTTTTAAATAAAAAAGAAATTAGTATTTAAATTAAGAATACGATATTTTGTTTTTCTTTTTTTTTCGTGACTAATTTGTATTTTCGTTAGGTGATGTGTGATTTTAGTTGATTTTATCTACATGTTTTTAATTCAATTGTTATTAAAATGTGTTATAAAAAGTTTGAACGCTACATAGCATTATGTTTGCTAAAACAAATAACTTTGACACTGTATGTGAGTGGAAAACCAACGGGTAGTGAAATATTTACGGACTTTCAGTTAAAAGATTTGGCGCTAGACGTGTGCACACAATTGGAATTTTTTGTTAATGTGGTAAGATATCCTTTTCTATCATAACTTATTTATCCATCTTATTTATGAATAACAAAGGGTAAAGTTATTCTTTTAAAATGGAGGTAACTTAATAACCATTTAAGGACGGTAAAATAAATATCTTATAATGAAGAACCGCAGATGTTCACCAAACTACCCAATAACATAAATAAATCCATTTCCATAACCTATTTAAACTGTCAAACACCAAGCGGTCACCGGTGACCGCAACCTATTGTTCTATAATTGTGTCTACAAAACCGGTACTCGACGAGTTAAGAAAAATTACCACATTTTGTAAGATTTTACTAAATCCCTTAAATATAATTTAACTTATCAAATATGAACTAATATGAAATTAAATAGATACTAAAGTACTTAACGTTTCTCATACGAAAATAAAATATAACGAACAAAAATAATAATAAAAATATTTACAAATAAAAGTAAAAAAATAACAAATATCGGTATAGAACTATAATTACATGCTATTACCAAAGCGATACGTTATAAGTACTGTAATTTTTGTGATACCCACATTGGTAAATACTTGATTAAAATAAAATTCCTGTACCTTAAGTTACCTACATTGTTAATTTCAATATTATTTTAGTAGAAAAATGTTCAATGTACCGCCTGCATCCTCATACTCTGAAGGTACTTTAATTTTAACCATGTTTTCTCATATCAACGGAACAACGGAACAAAGGAACAACAATTAACAATTCATTTAAGAAATTGTTCCTTTTTAAGACAAATGAATTCTTAAAGCATTAATTTTTTTTTTCTTCAACGAACTTGAACAACCAGAAAATTGATTTGTTGCAGATTTTTTTTAACTCATCAATTTTTTTCGGTTATTCTCAAATGTAGGAAATTCATAACAAATTAATTTAATTAATTTGAAAGCACAATCACATCACACTGAAGATCACGTTAGCTACAATCATAAATGAAAAAATAATGAGATGTCAGAGAAACTCGTATGATTTCTCCTTATCTATTGATAACAAGTGGGCGTATCATTTAATACGTCCATCCATCATAGTAGTCCATCCATTACATCAAAACAATATTACGTAAATATTGGTGGACCTACCTCTACTTACAAACAAATTATATCGTACAACTCAAGTTGTAAGGTAAAGAATCACTAAACTCATACTTTTAAAATATTAAAACTTGATAAATACTATTTTGGAACATATCAAAATATTACCTCAATAAATACAGAACAAGAATTCTGGAATTTATTAACACTATCATCAAAAAAAAGAACAACGTCATTATTTTTTTTTAATTGCTCTCATTAACAATGAGTTCATTAACTTCATCAGACAAACCCATTTATGTAAGAAAAACCTTATCACATAAAGCGATTTCTTAACGCCTTTTTAAAAGAGGAGGTAGCTACAAATTTACACTTTTTAATATTTAATTAGTAGTTAATTGTAATTGTAAGTGTCGAGATTACTTTAACGATGTATGTGACACATTAAAAGAAGTGCATAACAAAAATATATTCATTGATAATTCAGAACAGCTCATAGGGCAAAGGTGATTGTTATCTGCGATCGCTCCCAGACGGATAGTGCTACGTTTCAACCGATACAAGTAATCAATAGGCCGAAAATGTTAACTGCAGTTACTGCGAACAATATAAAACAACTGTATATTGATAATAATATACAGGGTGCGGTTACACGGTACGATACACTACCGAAAATTTAAAAACCAAATACTTATATACTTATAATATTAAAATGCACCTCGAACCAAGGTAATAAAAAATTGCCGATTTTTGTGGGATAAATTCCAAGAAAAGATATGCGATTTCAGGAACTAAACAATAAACAAAGATTTCTGAGTAGTAGTCTTTGAAATTAAGCATGAAATTTTTCAACCCTCTCTTGATTTGAAGCAAGCAGAATAAGGTTGTCAAAGCGAGAAAACGGCAAATTACTATTGTTACGCCATAATGTGAGAAAAGTCCTTTGCTATTTCAGAAAATTCGCTTCCATTGTTGTGTCTTTTAACAATGTTAATAGCTCATATCTACTTGTTAAATAAAAGTCAATTCGAGCATCTTAAACTCTTTTAGTTTTCTGTTGTGGTTGGCCCTGAAGAATATTCCCCCAAGCAATGTCACTAATGTTTGCATAATAAACTAAAAGATTAGTGCTGAATCTGAAGATAGATGGACGTATTCCAAACCCGAACTTTTAGAACCTTTTAGTTTGCCACTATCGTCTATAATTCTCTGTACATCTTTCTCATCCTGTAGAGTATCTTCTTATCGTATAGCACTCTGTCGGCATTGACACTGAAAGATTTGAACTTGAATGTTCTGTTTTGTCACTACTCACTATCGAATCAATTGACGGTAGCAATGACGCAAATTGTAATAGGCATCAGGGTGTGTGTGATACTACGAGACTCTGAATTGATATTATCAGCACTCTTTCAAAGATAAATCGTATTTCACCATCTGATTGCTTTTAGTGACTATTTTTCCTAATCTTGCTTGAAGCGTTGATTGGGTTTTCCTTTTGGGAATTTCTTGGTTGATTTTATCTTCTGAAAAATATTGTCTTGAAATACCATACTATATTAAAAACGTAAGACCCGTGCAATCGGTATTCTGTTAATTGCGAAAACTTTCTAACCATTTTTTACCCATCTGATTGAATTGTTAAAAATAATCACTTTAATGGCTCGGTTAGAAGTAATGGTCTCCTTTAACATCAGATTGACTGCTTCAAGTAGACGTCCCACATCCACCTCTCTTCCATTCATCTGGGGCTAAATAGTACGACCGGGTTTATTCCCAAGATTACGATAGCCAAAGACACGTCCAGCGGTCGACCACCTAAATAAAATGATGGACGTCATTCCAGATCGGTAGCACAGTCCAGTTATACCGAAACTGGGGACTGTGGCCTTGTGGGCGACTTCTCTAGTTTCTGTCTCAGAAATAGTTCAGTATGTAATTGAATGCATAGCTTGCATTCCTGCAGGTGGAAGTGGAAGTCATTAAAACTAAAATTAAATAGACTGAACTGCTAAGCGAAAGGTATGAATGGAAATACGACTTCAGCAATAATACAGTACCATACAATTGATAAAACCTGGGAATTATAAACAAATCCGTACTAACTACTAGATATACATAATTATGCAAATTAATCATCACGCGTACCTCTGCTATAAGATATGGTTAAGTAAAACCTTCGTAAAACTAGACTACTTAAAATGCATTAATATACCAGGTCTGACGTGGCGTCGAACGTGTGCCGTAGGTAAATGATCTACATCGTGTCGCTTCGGTGTGACCTGTATGAATAACTACTATTTCAATGATTGAAAATGCAACAAACGTTGTACTTTCTCTGTAGTTTATGTCTTTGTAGGAGAAATTTACGCACGCTGTATATCGATAACCGTAGGAATTGTGTGTGATGGATACGATTAACCAATCTCAATGTAATTAATTATATTTTTTGAATGAGATTGTCGGTACACGAGCGGACAGATCAACGGATGGGAAGCAATCGGCGCTGGATCACCTATAACACCAGAGGTGTTACAAGTGCGTTACCAACCTTTTGGGGATTAGGAATTTGAGGATTATTGGGGAGTCGGGGATTGAGGAAATCGACATTATTGCATCTGTATCATGGCAGCTTTTTTTCGAAAATATCACCAATAATATGAGTATTTTGCAGCAAACAATTAGGTTAATTAAGACGGACTTCCAGACTTGCACTTCCGAGACCTCTTATACAATGAACAATGGTCTAATTAGTTATAATTAGAATCTCCTATAATACCCTCAGGTTGACCGTTCTGTGGTATTTCTGTGTGTTTGTTGACAAACTGTGCATCGCTGCAATGATTCAACCGCGCATATTGGAACGTGTCGCTTTACGTCCCAAACACTTCCACTTTCATACCCTGTTCTATAAAAAGAGACCTTAAATACGTTAAAATATGACATATATTCGTGTTTCCCACGTAAATAATCGCTTCCGGAAGTTTGCTAGACGATTCAATTTGCAAAATAATCCTTTAATGCGTATTGATTTCTTCAGCGCGTTATGTAAAGGTTATAAAAACTGATAAATTGTTGATTCACTTTATTTTTTATCCGTCTGGTCTAGGCACTCCATATTTTTTATTTTTTGTCTGAAAGAATAGTAAGTATCCTATGTAGTATAGTACTTTTTCATTATATTTTGTTATTTTTTGTCCATTAGTTAGATTCCATTAAGTTCTAGCGAATTACCTGAATTACTACTTACTATAATGATTGATAGCTGCATTGTGTACAATATTTTTTTCATATTAACTCGAGAATATGAAAAGATCACAAGTCGTACACAGACCTAACATAGTGATTCGTGGTTGTTTTACTTCACGTTTAAAAAGAGGTCGATTTCCCAGGAGTGATAGCAAACGCCAGTGTTTTTTGTTTTTAAATGTAATCCCGTTTTTGTTTGTTTCAGACAGTGGACACGTGCACGGAAAACTACTGGGGTTAGTATCCGAATTACATTCGCATAAAATTCGGAGTTCGCAAACATAACTGACAAAAATTGACCTTAATCGAAGTTTTTATTTATCCCAAGTTACCCGAAGTTTTTATTTTTCACTTCGTAAAAATTATTAACGGGTTTCCGACTTCACAGTTTTTTGGGGATTTTTTAGCCCTGATGGTAAGCGATACGGTGTTCGCTATTTAAGTACATAACACCAAAATTATCACAAATGCGTTGCAGACCATATACGAAACTGCACAATTACACCGTCGTTTCTGCAGGCGGGTATCCCAAAAATGATGGTGCGTACGATGAAACAGTGGGTTGGACATTCTGAACTCTGAATATTATATGATGTGAAATAAATCTCATACTGTGTCGTTTTCTATCCTAGCTCCAGAACAAAGCATGCCACAGTTATCATCACCACACGTCAAGATACGATGTTGGAGGAACAAAAGCATCTGGTTTCAGATAGAGCCTTCAGAGTACTTCCAGCTTGTGGCGTTAGTGCCACATCCGAACAATGGCAGTAATTATGTAAGTATTTATCCATTAGGACTATCCACATTAGGCCAGGTGGCGTATTATGATGTCTCAAAGCCAGAGTGGTTCCGTTGAGGGAACGAGATATCACTAGACGACTTGTTTAGCTCTGTAACCTAAGTCATCATAATAACCCTGCTGGTATTATTCATTATTCCATATGTCACTCACCCAAACCCTGTTCTCAAAATAAAGGAGACGATAAATTATCAAATTCGTTGCAGTTGTTAAAAAAGCTAAAGGGCTCGAGGGATCGAGATATAATTTGGAACAGTAGATTATGGTCTGGATCATAGGCTGCTTTTTATGCCACAGGAAGGCAGACGAAACCGCCGGCAGCTGCTAGTAAATAGGGATGATGACAGGGTATCAAAGTTAAAAATGTAATAAGTCAGTTAGATAATTAAAAAATATTAGACACGTATTTTTTTTTATTTTGCCGTATAACAAAACAATATTTAGATAACACGAATCAAAGTTTAGGACATAGGTTTAGGCACAGAACATTTAGGTGTGGAAACAGGCTATGTCATTTTTAAGTAAAATAAATTTTAAATCAATATATCGTCAACAGTATTCGTTTCCGTTTCCATAAGAAAAAAAAAACGTGTCTACTGTTTTTAAATAATCTACCATTAAAATCAAAATTTGTCATCTACCCTATTATAAGTACTATAATAAAAAATAAAAATTTGTCATCTACCCTATTCTGTACTCTAATAATCTAATCAAATTCTTCGATATTATATAGATTTAGTACCAAGTAGGAACGTTTACGAAGGGATATTTCGCAGATGACATCATAGAATTCACACTATGGGATCTTTCTGTACTTAATGCTATTTACTATGGCCGTGAAGCATTGGTTATATTTGCTAATGTGCCATTTGTGGTTCCTACGAATTTCAAGTTACATAGTGCATGGTGTAAGGTTCAGTCCCACCTGTTGCGTGATCTCATTAGTCTTAGTCATAGTGTCTTTAGTCCCGTTGCCCACGATTTTTCCTAGTATTATGTCCCGTAACAAAAATTTTTACTTTTTCTCTATATATTTTTGAAGTCTTTAAAGCTTAATGACGTAAATAACTAAGGAATTTCCCTAGCTACCTATAATTCGTCATATTTGTGTAACCATAATGAATCCATTCAATTTATCCGCACTCGTACGTCAATGCGGGTTTCACAGATAACATAACAAGCGGGCGGGAAAGTGGTTTTATACATACCGTAGTGTATATTTATATCGATGCAAGAACAGTTATTTCCAGGAAAAGGAATAAAATTCATGAGCTCTTGGGGACAAAAGCCTACCTACTATTGGTGCGAATCTGTTCGCATAATGGGTGCCTATTTTCCTTAAAACAACAATAATATTATTAACAAACGTAGTCTTTTAATTAATAACTTTTTAAAAATAGGTTTTATGAAACCGGAAATCCGAACTAAGCTATCAATATAGACTGAACTAAGTGTACTTTTGAAAAAAGATTAAGGAAGGAATAATTGAATTCAATCCTTTGACTATGACTTTTTCTGATTTAACACTGCAGACTTTCCACTGAACTCGTAGTAAGTAGAATGTAGTATTATAAAAGGGTTATTATTGAATTGTTACAGATACAACACAGTATTATAGAACCTTGGAGTGAATTCGAAGAGATTCCCGTAACACCTCAGGTTAACTACACGATATGGAGTACGAAACTCAAAGAGGGATCACCAGTAATGTGGACAAGAGGTGATACGTTTCCACGACAAGACAGGAATATAACTCAAGTCAATAAAACATACGAAATTAAAAAGTTCTTCCATATTAATGCGGATCCTTCAGTATTAGATGGAAGATTCACGTGGAACATCAGTGGAGGTAAGAGGTTTTGATAAGTACTAAGAACTTAGGATGCGTACGTCCATCCATCGTTAGCCGTAGCTAACTACGAGAAATGTTTGAAAAAAAATGGCTTGACTAGTTTCAAGATAGATACGGGACTCATCATAATAATAAGCTTGAACAGTTATGCGAGCTCTGCGAGGCTATTCTGTAAGTTTCAATTCGGAAGATCGAGGTGAATTAAAGTGTCATTGGATGTGAGAATAATCTCGACCAATGACGGGCGAGAATGCGATCGAGCTCACTTCGTAAGTACAAATACTGTTACAGAATAGCCTAGCTATATAGTTAAAGAGGTCTTTATCCATGGTTATAATTTAAATAAGTCACATAATTTCAAAGGAAAAAATAAAGAAAGACTTTCTTACAGATGCTGATGTATGCTTTGACGTTGTGAACTCTTGCAATAAGTCCAATTTGAAGCATAAGAAAATTTGGGTAAGTTATACGAATGTCTAACAACACAGAGAATCATTAAATTGTAGCTTGTGATCTATAAAGTTTCATATTAATTTCAGCCAAACAGTAAAGACAGCGAGCCCTATGTAGTGTTCGACAAGCTGCCAGTGGAAGATGAATGCATCATCAATGTAGTAGGCATGTACGGAACCACCACAGTCACGTATCGGACGCCGTCCTGCTATCCTGGCGATTGTTTGCTTTGTAAGTTTCTTATTAAGTATTAAGGTATTGGTATTATTCACAGGATAAGCAGCAGCTCTAAACTAGGTTTGAGTCAAATTTTGAAACCCCTTTATTACGGAGAGAAAATCATTCAATGACTCCTCCCGCTTGGGTGAGGTGAAAGGGAGTGTCAGACTCTTCTTGACTAAAAACCTCCCCGTTCCTAGTCTTGCTTCGAGCCACAGCCCTGGTAACCAGTTAATTCTTCAGCGGTTTCAAGGGCAATCCCTAAAGTACCTGCCATAGGTGGAGATAATGGCTTTACAATTAGAAAATTTATAGCCATTTTCCAATCATACACCACTCATGTTTTTACGGCAAAGTTCACAATGAAAAGTAAAAAATATTTACATTAAGAAACACGCTTAGATACTAACTTTTGGTACTTTTGCTTTCCAGCACCGATCGAGCCAGAAATGCCGACAAATGTCACAATAGTCGCGATAGAAGATGACTTCGATAGTTGGGAGGTGCACGTGAGCTGGGCCAGGCCTAATGTTCTCCCTGACTTCTACAACGTGTCTCTATGGATCGACGAAGTGGAAACACAGACACTCATATTACCTGGGGTTAGTTTAAAAAATTCTATTTTATACACAAAAAACAAGCAAGCAAGACAGAACGGTTTTAGATAACACTTGACACGAACAGTTAAGACGGTCTGAATTAATACAAGGGCTACTTTCCATCCGGATAATGCCGGCGAAGCCGCTGGTGAACTTGGCTTTATAGTTCAACCAAACAAAATTTCCAAACAGATCAATAAACCTTTTAACAAAAAATGTTTTTTACAGGATGCAACAGAAGCAGTGTTTAGAAATGTGACGAGCAACAGCGGTTTGGGCTTTTACGACGTGGGCATCAAGTCCAAGCTGGGCAACATCACAGCTGTCACCAGCAGACAAGCTCAGTTCCCTGGTAAGTTCACTCTGCAGTACACCGACGACGAAGAATACTGACCACTGACCAGCGCGAACATAGAACAACAACAAGCGACACTTCTTTAGGGAACAGGGTGTGTAGATCGTACTAGAAGTCTCCATACCTCTACTGATGTAGACTTCCGGTTTTCTCTATCAGGCGGATTGTAAACTTGTTAAATCTTCAAAAACACTTCACTCCTAACAGAACGGCTGACAAATAATCTCAAAGCAACACTTTTCCTTCATCTACTCACAGCATCAAGACAGTAACTGCAGCTGACAAGAAACCTCATTACAAAAATAAAATCAAACTTCACAATTCCTTCGTCTGCATTTTTATTCATCCTACACATAATAATGAAATAAAGTATCACCACTGATGTCTGACGCATTTTTCGTACTTACTCCCTATTCACCACAAACACAAATAAAACAGAAATGACTGAGAGAGCACTTTTATACACTTGGAAGTTTTTGCAAGCAAATATAGTGTGGGAGAGCCATGCTTCGGTGCGAATGGGCCGGCTCGACCGGAGTGATACCACGGCCTCACAGAAAACGGACGTGAAGCAACGCTTGCGTTGTGTTTCATCGTGTGAGTGAGGTCACCGGAGACCCAGTTACCCCGCTTCCCTTCCCCAATCTCCCCAATCCCTGAATCCCCAACGATCCTCAAACCCCTAATCCCCAAAAGGCCGGTAACGCACTAGTAACGCCTCTGGTGTTCCAGGTGTCCATGGGCAACGCCGATTGCTTACCATCAGGTGATCCGTCTGCTCGTTTACCGGCTTATGCCATAAAAAAAAGATGGTGCATCACATTTATCCCAGAAATACCAAACCTACCTACCACCAACAAAAATATGAAACAAAACAACCATAAATGTTAAATGGCTATCCTGAGAATAAGAATCTAATGCCTGCTTAAGTATAGTTCTGTCACTACAAATTCTTTGTAAAATGACAGAGATGGCACGATATTTAAGTACAACTTAAAATTGAGTACCCTTTCAGTATTAGGGTGTAACACATTCAATAACATAACATAACATTACGCCTTTTTATCCCCGAAGGGGTAGGCAGAGTCGCGGAGAACCTAACGGGTAACCGGGGCTCCGGCTCGACGTGCAGGAGAAGGAACGGGGTGGTTTTTAGTCAGTAAGAGTCTGACACTCCCTCCCGCCTCACCCAGGCGGGGGCAGTCATTCGATGATTTTCCCCCCTTAAAAAAAAAAAAAGGGGTAGGCAGAGGTGCACATTTTGGCACTTAATGCGCATAAATAAATAGTGAAAAGTGGGTGTTACACATTCAATACTGTCTTACTATAGTTGCTAAATGAGACTTAGCAGCAGTTTTTAATAACCAAATGAAAAATATCAGGTACTGCTATAAGGAAAGTAACACTGAACTTGCTGAAGACCATTATTGCAACCCAAAGACAATAGACGACAAGAAAGTGAAATATCAGAACGTATGTTGGAAAACACTAAACCACAATAAGAAACTTATTAAAAAGCATTTGGATATACTCGAATATTTTATAATCCCGATTGATATAATATACAAACACTATTCGTTTTATCTGTACCGTAAAGAGCTATATTAATCACTATAGAAATTATAGGAAAGAGTAGGTACACACTTCATTTACGCCCACTACACAATAGACAACAGAAATCAGAACTTCCCTTACTGAACAAATAATTTCTGATACCAGAATAAGCAAAAGGTGCAACAAAAAATATGGGCCACCTGATTATGGCCGCTAGCTTACAGCTACAATACTAAAACCATCACACACAATAACTTATGATATGAGCATAAAGTTACTTACAGACCTCAGATCAGTGACTTAATGTTTCTTTCTTGGCTTCCGATTTGAGAAGCCACCAGTTTATACGGTCTTTGACCACTTAATACCTCAGTACATAAATATAAGATGTAATAGAATAAGAATAACGTGGTATAGTGTTGAACGTGGCCAGACAGTGCGGGTGCGGCGCGCGGCGCGGAGCAACCGGGTGGGGCGGGTGTCGCGGCCGTGGGCGCGGGCTGCGCTGCGGCCGCCGCGCTGGCGCTGCTGTGTCGGTGCCGGCGACGCAGGGACCACCAGCCTGTGCCGTCTTACAAACCGGTAACTTACACAAAATCTCGTCTCGACCTTTACGCTTAACCCTTGAGACCTAAGAACTAAAACGAGAATTGCAAGCTAACCAATCGTCTTAATCTCCATAAAATCTATTACCGATAAAAAGACTACAAAATTTGAGTTCCGAATGTCGTTCACCATTAGATCCTAACCTATGTAACTAAACCACATAGACATACTCTAATGTCCCAATTAACGGCCTCAGCAGGACGACAAACCGTTGAAAGAAGGCGACACCGATGTGCTAGAAGTATGGAGCGAGACAGAAGACCGGTGGGAGGTGCGAGCAGACAAGCTCGTGCTACACGAGGTCATTGGAGAAGGAGCATTCGGTGTCGTACGCAGGGCTACACTCGCCCCGCACTCCTTGCTCGTCGCTGTTAAGATGCTAAAAGGTAAAAGCTGGTGCATTGACGAGAAACAACCATGTCAATAATGTAAATAAAAGCTAAATAAACCAAAGAATTCCTTAACTATTTTCATTTAACCATCAATTAAATTACCCCTCCAAAACGTCAATGAAAAACGAACAATCTAACAAATACTTGAATAAATAAATTTGCAAACAATATTGCAAGCAATAGTCATAATTTTTGTCTTTCCATGATAGACTTCCCATCGCTGGAGGAAATCAGATCATTTCGTTCAGAGATGGAGCTGATGAAGAGCGTGGGCGTGCACCCGCACCTCGTGAGCCTGGTGGGCTGCTGCAGCGGTAGGAGACCACTTATCATTGCAGAATATTGCAGTCGGGGGGACTTGCTCAGTTACTTGAGGTACAGCAACTGATCACATTAGAAGAATTTATCTATTGGCTCTTTATTTGGTTTCGTTTGAAATTAATTACAATTTGTGAAAAATACTATTATATAATATATCTACTTATTTCCAGATGCACATGGGACATTATGCTATCTAAACGTAACGCGAAATATTACAACAACAACATAGAGGTATCAGACTACAGGAACGACTTGTTCAAGTGCAAAGCACAGATGGAGAGCTCAAAGCTGGTCGTCAACAAACTGTATGAGCTACAAGAGATCTGTGATAAGGAACTGACTGCTTTAGATCTCCTGTCCTTCTGCCGGCAAATAGCGATGGGTATGGAGTTCCTAGCTGCCAATCGAGTCGTCCATAGAGATTTAGCAGCCAGGAACATTCTGGTGACGGCAGACAGGACTTTGAAGATAGCAGACTTTGGTCTTTCAAGGGATGTGTATGAAGAGAACCAGTACAAACAGAAGGGTAATGGAAAGATGCCCATCAGGTGGATGGCTTTGGAGTCACTGACGCGAAGGATATATACCACGCAGAGTGATGTGTGAGTATTAGCTGCACAATTCATGTAATGATGGCATGTTGCTAAAATGTAGACGTTATCGGTAGAGAGTAAGGCTTTGTCTTCTGATGTCAAGATTTACAGCCTTGAGAAAAGTTCAACTCTCAAATTCATCTCTAACGAGGAATCTTACAATCTTACTAATATTATAGACTAGCTACTTCCGCGCGGTTTCACTCGCTCTGCTGGGCGCCTATTAATCGTAGCGTGATATTTTATAGCCTATAGCTTTCCTCGATAAATGGGTTACCCAACACAGAAAGAATTTTTCAAATCGGATTAGGAGTTTCGGAGATTAGCGCGTTCAAACAAAAAAACAAACTCTTCAGCTTTATAATATTTAGTATAGATTTGAAAGACTGTGAATTTGTGTCTTTGTGTATAATATGTTTGTTACTCAATCACCTCAAAACGGCTAAAGGGATGGGGATGAAATTTTCACAGGCTAATAACACAGGCTAATTTGATCCCACGGGAACGCGGGCAAAGCCGCTAGCAGAGCCTAGTTCTTCATAAACCAAGATTGAAATCCGCAAGAGACACGAATTACTTGTGGAGATAAGACAAAACACTTAACTAAATATTTTGTACTTGTCCCAGCTGGTCGTTTGGCGTGGTGGTATGGGAGGTGGCGACAGTGGGGGGCTCACCATACGCCGCAGTACCAGCTGCACGACTCCCGCGACTTCTGCGAGCTGGGTACCGGATGCCCAAACCTAATAACTGCAGCCCGCAACTGTAAGTATACTTTTATATTACAGTACTTGAAAACTAAAATGTTGTGTTTTCAATTCATTACATAGTGTAGTAATAGGGATGAACTCCTAAGGAAGAGATTGGAGCCTTAAAGTACATATAACAGCAATGTATGCAGAGCTGAAGATTCAATATCCTATGGTACGCTCTACATACAAAAAGCCTTTGTATGCGGAGCAGTACCATGTTAAGCATTCCTCGTAGAATAGAAAATAAAAACTTATGTTAACTTACCATTCTTCAATACTTACCATTCTTTAAATGGTCGTAGGTACGACATAATGCTATCCTGTTGGCGCACGCACCCCCGCGACAGGCCGACGTTCGCAGACTTGCACCAACGACTCGACGAGCTACTGAACAGTGCGTGTGCCAACCAATACTTATCGCTAGAGATTGATGCAGACGACGCACCCCCCACGCCCAAACATCACCGATATATTAAGATGCTGATGAGGTAAGTTCCAATTACTTTGAATTTTTGTGATGAGTGAAGGGAAAGACTAATTACTTGATGTCTAATGCGCGTGGGTAAGGATATCTTTGACGGTGTTAGTGATTGGACTGTCAGGTCCATAATCGACAGAGGCGCCATCTGGACATTGCAAAAATTATGAACCTTGTTATAATAAGAGTACTCAAATATTTGTTATGTTTGAAGCAGTCTATCGAAAAAAGATGGTGCACTTCTATTTATTTATTAAATTGTAATGGTACAGAGGCAAGCGCGCTTGGTCCCGCGGCGAGACGTACGAGCGTCCACTGAAGGCGCCGCAGAGCAACCACTACACCTCGCCGCCTGACTCGCTCAGCGCACAGCCTGCAACCTGACTTAATCCCAATACAGGAACACTTTTACCTTGTACCTGTCTTGTGGACATGGACATTCATACACCAACGGTATGATCAAATCTTACTGGAATATTTAAACAGAATGCCTAGCACGAATTTTTTCACCTATTCGATCACATTAACATCCTTTGCCGATCCCATATAAATTTTAGCTAACGTAAACGCTATCGATAAGATGAAAACCTCCCTTAGAAGTATATGTCTTAAACTACAGTTTGCTTACCGAATGACTGATATTCAGACTTTAAAAATTTTACCTTACTCTATAAAAAGTCCAAGAGTTTATCAATAATCCTTTGACGGCTATAATATGATAAACATTTGGTGTATTAACTTGTATGAAATGTATTTGATCTGTACATAACATTAATGTGTTTACTTGCTGTGTTGTGCTGTGATACATAAGTGTAGCTATATTAGATAGAATTTTGAATAAATAACCCTTTTAGGTCTGTGTAAATGTGTGTAATATGTTAAATGTTTTTATGTTTATGTGTAAAATGTTGAATTTTTCGAGTATTGAAACATAATTATGAGTTTAAGTTAATTTGACGCCTTCCTTAAAGAATACCATGACAATAAATATAATAATATGAACAATGTATATTTTCTATGCATATATTCAATTGGACTATAAGTTCAATTTTTTAATAGTTGACTAATTTGTGTGCTTAGTAATTAAGATAATGTATGTACAAATACTATAGATTTGTATAGAAAAGTATTTCTTGTAAAGATGCTTTGTAAGTGTAATGTTCTGAGCTATGTATTTTACTTAGAAGTAATTTGAACGGACTAGTTTTGTAAATAAGTATTGATATTTGTACTTAAATATTACGTAATATTAGTAATAAATAAAGCACTGATAGTACACATTAAAAATGTGTGAAGAAATATGTCTTTTTAATTACAAAACTTCGATTCGATCCCCAAAATAATGAAGGAAGACAACCATACTGTGATTTGAATATTGTGCTATGAAAATAAACCTATTAGGGTAGAATAAATAAATAAAACATTAGATAGATTGATATATTAACTTCGTATATTTTACAGCAATATAACTTATCTCTAGATATAAAAATATCCATATGATCACACCTCGCTTTTCCATCATGGTGCCCTTCGATACATCCTTCGTGATGCGTGTGCCCTGTACCACCCACTTAAAGCTTGCCAACACGACTTTTGTAATCCAATACACATTATTATAAAAGTAATAATACAGACCACACTCTCATCACGACCAATCACATTCCTTTATTATCGATACTAGTGATGTACCAACTATCACAATTTATCGACTATTTCCACTACTGGCACATTAGAAAATAAAACGATAAAGCTTTGTACAGAGGCAAACAAACAAACCATAATATTAAAAATCATATACCAGCGTATGATAGCTATCAACATATCGCAGTAGTTGGTACTCACTCATATTATATAGCTATAATACATATTATTTATTAGGACGTACTCAATGAGCGAACATAAGAGCATCATAATTTCCATAAAGTATAAACGCCTTAAAACTCTATGATATGACTAAACCAAACATTTTAATTTCCTTTACAATATCACACATAATTTTGATGTTAACACATAATTATATTTTGAAAAAGCTACTTACAGAATATTTTATTAAATGATCAGTTTGTTAGAAAGCTACAAGTTATCTAAAATTGAATTTATCAAATAAAAAAACAGTTGTAAATCCTTTACAACAGGTCTTCAAAAGAAATGTAAAAATAAATCTAAAATACATGAAATAAATTGCAATTTTGTAATGATAATTCGAAAACAAATGTATTGTTTTACTAAAAGCCTCAAAGACTTCGTATACCTTAAAACAACATTTTAGTGCCAAAATTCAAATGATTTATTAATTGATTTTCAGTCTCAATATAACTAAACATGGCAAGAAAGCCTTTATATGTCGCGAATACACATATAAAAACTGTACTAGTGAACTATGTCATGTACGCACAGATTATTAGCTACATACATACATACAAACATACATACATATAAATATTTAAATACTATTTCCGTAAAAAAGTGCGAATTCTATTAGGTTATTGACATGAATATCATACATTAAAACGTTAATAGTTATTTTACCCGACGATCTGTTTTGATGTGGAATCCAGGAAATGAACACACGTATATATCACTTGGTAATATGACTGTACGTCATCAAATTATTGCAATTGCTAAGTTAATATTGCCATAAAATCACAATTATCATTGGTACATAAATCGCCGGCAATATAGAGTATCATTTATATTTAATAGCAAATAATAATTATTTGTTTAGCACTATTTAAAGTGCGATATCTTTCGTAATATTCACTAATCTAACATTTCATAAAAAAGTGCGAATCCTATAAAAACCTATGTCGCTAACGTAATTAGGAATGATGTAAACAATATTTGCCTTTCGTTAGAGATCAAACGATTATACACATTCTATTTTAGACGAACATAGGCCTTAGTACGAGTTTATTTTTCGTTTAAAGTAATGGTGATGAGAGCGTATTCTGCGCTCTGATTGGCCGGCTCCAATGAACTTACCAATCAGAGCGCCAAATGCGGTCTTGTTTTGAATACTTTAAACATAAGATAAATTCGTAGTAAGGCCTCAGAATTACATACACATAACTTTGGCTGTTAATACTTCACCACACACTGGTCGGATATTGTATTATTAATATACTATAAATTTACAATGAGACATCGACAAACCACTTAGAAAATATAGAGCAGCAACTTAACTATTTTTACATAAGTACAATTGAATTTGTCTTGTTAGTACTATATTCGATGGCTGAACGTAATTTACAGGGACTGACAATTTCATGCGAATTTAAACTTTAAACGTATTATAAGTATTGCTATAATACATCGAAATGTGACGATATCTGATTGCAATCATAGTAATAAGCCGCGGAGTACGCCAAGACAAATTCGCTAACACTGCTTGTTCCTGAAAGGCGTGTACGGCTGAACTTTGATCTAAAGTATTTTTCATTTATAGAACTATAATTTCACTAATAAAATCATTATGAATTTTATTCACACGTTGATCGCTCACGGCCACGATAGCGGAGGAATTGACCTCAAAAGTTTTCCTCGCCTTAACTTTTCGAAGGAATTAGTTCAGTTAAAAGAGATTCTATAGAAGACTTCTTGAGCGTTTGTCTAGTCAGCAGTACTGTTGTTTCAGAAACACGCTTGTGTTTGTAGTGAGGCAGGGGAGAGTACTGCGAGTACTGCGAGTACTAGTAGCATGTAGCGCGGGGCCGCGTGGTCAGTCGATGGGGGGCGGCTGTGCCGGGATACTCGATGGCGGCGCCGTCAGGTAGCCCGCCGTGTGAGGAGCGCCTGTGGAGGAAAAGATAATGTTTTAATGATAAAGAATATCCTGCAATGGAGTATTTTTATGTTCCCAAAGTCATTTAATTCTTATTTCTTATAACCTACTTATTTCTCTTCAAAAGCTTGAACTGTTACAAAGCAATTGTCCAATCGCGTGTCTGAATTTATTTTGTCAAACTCAAGTTAAAGTATTTTTTTCAACTAAATCATACAAAGGTACTTTTGAAACATCAAAAAATTATAGAATAATCTGTCAGTCTGTCAGTCAGTGAGGCAATAATCTAAAAACTGATAAACAGATTTACAAGCTATTTTCATCAAAGCATAAAGGTTTCTTAAGAATGGTCTTAGGACAATAATGGCGACAATTTGTTCCATACTAGTTATTTATTACTGAATTCCAATCGCACCTGTGAGTAAGTTATTCTGCGGCGCGGCAGTGATGAAGAGGTCGTGTCTCTGCGCGCTGTAGTGGTCCCAGACGGCGGAGCGCGCCAGCACGGCCTTGACGCGCTCCCCGTGCAGCGCCGACCGACACATGGCCTTCAGCGCGCGCACCAACTGCGCCGCCGTCGCGCCGTCCAAGCGAGTCTCCAGGAGGGAGAGGAGCTCGCCTATTAGATCTGTTTCTAGTGCCTGTGGATATTTTTGTGTGAAAACAATCATTAGGTATGACCCAGCAATGTACCGAAATATACACAAGATACAATTTTTTGGGGCTTCAAATGATACAAACGCAATCTAAACATTGTTGTACAGTCAGCATCAATAGTCGATGACCACATTCAAATTTTCAAAATCACTGTACATTATATCACCCATAAATCGCTTAACAAGAGAGGGCGCCATTATTGAATGAACATCTTGAAAGTTCAAAATTAACTGAACACTACTCGTCAAAGGTCACTGTACACCATTTTGGCAAAAATTGCTGATCGTTTTAATATCCGAAAACATCATATCATTAAGTTTTACAAAAGTCACTGAACAATATAAAATGCTTGTTTTGGTTATCCAGTGCAATCACAGCAACGTCCAAAAATAACTTAACATCATTAATAACAAAAGTTACTGAACATTACTTTGTTTCGGATTTGTAGCGTGTAAATTTATACCATCAAAAGTAGCTGAACTGCAAACTAAAAAACGTTGACGATGTTGCTGTATTACGATTGAATAGTAACTATATTTGACTATTTTTGAATTTATACCATCGCGTAATTAATTATTTTTTAAGTTCGATTGAATTGAACCTTATTCGTAAAGCAATAAGACTCATTTTTAAAAATCACGCAGATTCTGTTCAAATTCATACCGTCGACTTAGTTTATGATTTTTATAGTTACAATTGAATTAGAACTTAATCTGTATACTTATAAGCAGTGGCGGCTGGTGGGTTATCGAACTGGTGGTGCAGTTTACTAAAATATTAAAGTTAGAAAATGCAACAAAACAAAAATTGACATAATATATGTTTATTTTTTATTGTTTTAAATTTAAAAAGGGCCGTGGCGGTCCGGCCAATTTTATGTTCACTTTATTTTGAAAAGTTCTGTTCTTTTCTTTAATATAATCAATGTTTATGCTCATTTTCACTAATACACAGTATAGAATAAAAGTTCTCGAAAAAAATCGAAACGAAAACTAAAAACAATTATTTACGGTAATATAAATAAACAATTATTAGCGCGTCACACATACAGTGAAACTATAGATACTGATAGTCTAATAACGAGATGTCAATCATCCAATGGCTGCCGTCGCCTCGCGCGCGCCCATGCCGGCCAATTCGTCAAAAATCGGGTGCTCTCGGCAATCCTCGGTTCGCATCGCACGTACGGCGCTCGACAACCGACTCATTACTCGGTACGTTTCTATGAACTATCTTTTGTTTCACGCGTCAGGCGTATTAACTCGTATCACCTACAAGTTGTATTAGCAGACCTCGTGCACTCGCCGAAGCGCACGAGAATTTGTCTTTACAGGAAAATAAGTCTTAATAGTTTAGTAAAGCGCTCAAACTGTTTCACTATAATTGGAGATTTAATTTTTTATACGTTCTTGTTTTTATATATTTAAAAATAAATATTAAAATGGTAATAAAAATAAAAATGTAGTAGGTACTTAATATTTTGTCATTTTTAAATCTTTTGGATTGGTGGTTCAGCGCACGAGCGCACTTAAGGTACAGCCGCCACTGCTTATAAGACTTATTTTCAAAATTACCACAAATTCTGTTTTAATTCAATTCTTTGGGAAAGATAGTTTTTTTATTTATTTATTTATTTATTTATTTATGTACACACATTCAACACAGAGGACAACACATATATAAAAACAGAGTACATAGGCCTCACATATTCCAACTGGAATCTCTTCCTGTGGGCCTGTGGCAGGAAAAGATATTATAACACTGAGACACATAGTGCGTTACACAAACAATAAAAAAAAAATAGTTGTGGGTATTTGAAAAATTGTTTACTTAATTATCACTTGGATCGGATGTAGACTATTGTGGTTGGGGCGCGGTGCCAGAAGACCTCCCCGTGGTGCACCCTAGGTGCGGGCGACAGTCTCCCTAACAGGGGTGACAGGGTTCGGTGTGACTGTCGCCCACAGCAGACTTCTGGACTGGGCGGGCGAACCCGATAGGGTTCTGGAGGCGGCGGGCTGTGTGCGGAGGCTCATAGCCCGCGCTTCCGAGGGGCGTTTCTCCGCCTGTCTCTCTGAACTTAGCAGAGAGCGTGGCGGAGAGACAGGGCGGTGCTCGTTATGTACTCACCCTGCCAGCGAGCAGCATCGGGACACAAGCTGTCCCCGATTGCAGCCGTCGATATCGTAATCCGTAAGGAGGTCACGGTCATGTTTTGTGACTCTGAACGGGACGAGGGTCTTGGCTTGGTCGCCCGGACCGCGAGGAAGATAACCTCTATAAAAAATTCCTCCAATACTAAGTTCTGGTGCGCGGCGAGAGTATGCATGGCTGAGGAGTAGTGTCAGTCGCGAGCGCACCCCCAGCTAGGGGACCAGTGGAACCTCTAGTTGGGAAACAAATTAACACTTACCCAGGTACAGGGGGCACTGCCTGGGTGGACCGATTTACCTGTGTCGGCGCCAGGGCAGCTAGTACGGGCAGTGCCAGCCTGGGCGCGTGCGTGAGTAGCCGCGCCAGTCGCGGCACTGTATGTTACCTGTGTCGGCGCCAGGGCAGCTAGTACGGGCAGTGCCAGCCTGGGCGCGTGCGTGAGTAGCCGCGCCAGTCGCGGCACTGTATGTTACCTGTGTCGGCGCCAGGGCAGCTAGTACGGGCAGTGCCAGCCTGGGCGCGTGCGTGAGTAGCCGCGCCAGTCGCGGCACTGTATGTTACCTGTGTCGGCGCCAGGGCAGCTAGTACGGGCAGTGCCAGCCTGGGCGCGTGCGTGAGTAGCCGCGCCAGTCGCGGCACTGTATGTTACCTGTGTCGGCGCCAGGGCAGCTAGTACGGGCAGTGCCAGCCTGGGCGCGTGCGTGAGTAGCCGCGCCAGTCGCGGCACTGTATGTTACCTGTGTCGGCGCCAGGGCAGCTAGTACGGGCAGTGCCAGCCTGGGCGCGTGCGTGAGTAGCCGCGCCAGTCGCGGCACTGTATGTTACCTGTGTCGGCGCCAGGGCAGCTAGTACGGGCAGTGCCAGCCTGGGCGCGTGCGTGAGTAGCCGCGCCAGTCGCGGCACTGTATGTTACCTGTGTCGGCGCCAGGGCAGCTAGTACGGGCAGTGCCAGCCTGGGCGCGTGCGTGAGTAGCCGCGCCAGTCGCGGCACTGTATGTTACCTGTGTCGGCGCCAGGGCAGCTAGTACGGGCAGTGCCAGCCTGGGCGCGTGCGTGAGTAGCCGCGCCAGTCGCGGCACTGTATGTTACCTGTGTCGGCGCCAGGGCAGCTAGTACGGGCAGTGCCAGCCTGGGCGCGTGCGTGAGTAGCCGCGCCAGTCGCGGCACTGTATGTTACCTGTGTCGGCGCCAGGGCAGCTAGTACGGGCAGTGCCAGCCTGGGCGCGTGCGTGAGTAGCCGCGCCAGTCGCGGCACTGTATGTTACCTGTGTCGGCGCCAGGGCAGCTAGTACGGGCAGTGCCAGCCTGGGCGCGTGCGTGAGTAGCCGCGCCAGTCGCGGCACTGTATGTTACCTGTGTCGGCGCCAGGGCAGCTAGTACGGGCAGTGCCAGCCTGGGCGCGTGCGTGAGTAGCCGCGCCAGTCGCGGCACTGTATGTTACCTGTGTCGGCGCCAGGGCAGCTAGTACGGGCAGTGCCAGCCTGGGCGCGTGCGTGAGTAGCCGCGCCAGTCGCGGCACTGTATGTTACCTGTGTCGGCGCCAGGGCAGCTAGTACGGGCAGTGCCAGCCTGGGCGCGTGCGTGAGTAGCCGCGCCAGTCGCGGCACTGTATGTTACCTGTGTCGGCGCCAGGGCAGCTAGTACGGGCAGTGCCAGCCTGGGCGCGTGCGTGAGTAGCCGCGCCAGTCGCGGCACTGTATGTTACCTGTGTCGGCGCCAGGGCAGCTAGTACGGGCAGTGCCAGCCTGGGCGCGTGCGTGAGTAGCCGCGCCAGTCGCGGCACTGTATGTTACCTGTGTCGGCGCCAGGGCAGCTAGTACGGGCAGTGCCAGCCTGGGCGCGTGCGTGAGTAGCCGCGCCAGTCGCGGCACTGTATGTTACCTGTGTCGGCGCCAGGGCAGCTAGTACGGGCAGTGCCAGCCTGGGCGCGTGCGTGAGTAGCCGCGCCAGTCGCGGCACTGTATGTTACCTGTGTCGGCGCCAGGGCAGCTAGTACGGGCAGTGCCAGCCTGGGCGCGTGCGTGAGTAGCCGCGCCAGTCGCGGCACTGTATGTTACCTGTGTCGGCGCCAGGGCAGCTAGTACGGGCAGTGCCAGCCTGGGCGCGTGCGTGAGTAGCCGCGCCAGTCGCGGCACTGTATGTTACCTGTGTCGGCGCCAGGGCAGCTAGTACGGGCAGTGCCAGCCTGGGCGCGTGCGTGAGTAGCCGCGCCAGTCGCGGCACTGTATGTTACCTGTGTCGGCGCCAGGGCAGCTAGTACGGGCAGTGCCAGCCTGGGCGCGTGCGTGAGTAGCCGCGCCAGTCGCGGCACTGTATGTTACCTGTGTCGGCGCCAGGGCAGCTAGTACGGGCAGTGCCAGCCTGGGCGCGTGCGTGAGTAGCCGCGCCAGTCGCGGCACTGTATGTTACCTGTGTCGGCGCCAGGGCAGCTAGTACGGGCAGTGCCAGCCTGGGCGCGTGCGTGAGTAGCCGCGCCAGTCGCGGCACTGTATGTTACCTGTGTCGGCGCCAGGGCAGCTAGTACGGGCAGTGCCAGCCTGGGCGCGTGCGTGAGTAGCCGCGCCAGTCGCGGCACTGTATGTTACCTGTGTCGGCGCCAGGGCAGCTAGTACGGGCAGTGCCAGCCTGGGCGCGTGCGTGAGTAGCCGCGCCAGTCGCGGCACTGTATGTTACCTGTGTCGGCGCCAGGGCAGCTAGTACGGGCAGTGCCAGCCTGGGCGCGTGCGTGAGTAGCCGCGCCAGTCGCGGCACTGTATGTTACCTGTGTCGGCGCCAGGGCAGCTAGTACGGGCAGTGCCAGCCTGGGCGCGTGCGTGAGTAGCCGCGCCAGTCGCGGCACTGTATGTTACCTGTGTCGGCGCCAGGGCAGCTAGTACGGGCAGTGCCAGCCTGGGCGCGTGCGTGAGTAGCCGCGCCAGTCGCGGCACTGTATGTTACCTGTGTCGGCGCCAGGGCAGCTAGTACGGGCAGTGCCAGCCTGGGCGCGTGCGTGAGTAGCCGCGCCAGTCGCGGCACCTCCCCCAACTGCGCGCAAAGCTCGCCCAGTGCCGGCCGCGCGCGTAGTGCCGCGCTCAGGGCCAACGCGCATGTCTCGCCGCGACTACCCTGTAGCGGTGAACATAGTAAAGTGTTGAGTCTCTCTCTCGAGTCTTGCTCACCAGATGACGCAAATGTACCAAGAGGTGTTTTGGTCCAATCACAGCAGCTGTCAAACATAGAACCCCCAATGGTGTGAGTGTGACACTAGCTATTTTTTTATTGGACGAAGAAGGAGAGGTTTACACTTGCGCCATCTGGTAAGCACCAATACGGTGGGGCCCATTAGTCCAATATAAGGCACTTTCGAACAGTTGGCACTTTAGAATGTCAACCCTGAGTACTACATGTTAGCTCAGTCATTTGGTAGTTCTTTAGAATTTTTTTCGGGGGTTTTGAAAATTGGCAATATACATTTTAATGTGCTCTTTTTGATTTCCATTTCGCAGCCTCGTAAGTGCGCCGCTCGCGCCGCCATTTTGGAAAAATGTCAGCAAAAAAAAATATTATATAAGCATAAAAACGAAATCATATAGTTTTATAACATTTAAGGCATATTTCAAAACAAACAAACATCAAAGCCAACATGACATCTTCAAAAACATACCTCTGACGAATCCTTATTCACTGCGGCGATGGTTTCAGTCAACAGCTCCTGGAGGAATCGTTTAGGGCTCCGCAGGTTCCAGTGTGGGTTCTGTAGATACAACTTGAGATACACCCCGTCTACCACGACCTCGCCAGGCGGCGCCCATGTTTGCTCGCCTGTGGCCGCACGTTCTAATGTTTCCCGGTCCTCGAACGCCGCGTTTGGAGAACGAAGCTGGTCTGATTGGTGTCTGAATAAAAAAGTATTTTAAAGTAAATAAATAAACAACGTTTCATTTTTATTCAGGTCTCTCATTAAACTTTTGTGAGTAATTACCATTTTTATAGCAAATTATTAAACAGAAAACATTATTATAAAGTTGATATCAGACAAGGATATGGGTCGCTCAACGCACAGAGTAAGTAGTATGTTAAGTTCAACTTAAGCAAATGGCCTTACAATTGCAAAACACCTTACAATTTAAAAAATGTACAAGTACCGTAAAATGGGGTGAATAGGGATCAAGAGGTGAATAGGGACACAAGAGGGGTGAATAGGTGTAAGGAAATTCTTCATAGTATCGATTCACCCCTCTTCTGTCCCTTTTCGCCGCTCAAACCCTATTCACCCCATTTTACCGTAATGTTGCACGTTTTTGAAATTGTAAATTGTATTGCCAGTAACAAAATTTCAAGTAAAATATCACATTACTAACCTGTCTCTCAGCTGCGCGATGTGTGTAGCAAGTCTACGTCTCGTATCATCAGTCCACACGAGCTCAGGGTGTTCGTGCTGAGCATCGAACATGTGTACCGCATTCGACGCACTAGACTCGCGCATCGCTTCCGCAAATACGCCCGGAATGTAACGAGATATTGTTAGACGGACCTAGTGGGAAGTAGAGAGATCATGGATGAAATTTTTTTTAATGGATGATTTATTTTTAATGGATGATAATTTTTTATTATTATTATTTATCTTTATATCACGAAGATAACTATTATATAATCTAAGCCCCAGCCACAAAACCGTTACAGTGGTTTGAGTGTGGGGTCGAGTCGCTAGACATTACAATTAAATGTACTTATATTTAAATATCTATCTAAATATTTATTATGAGAATATACTTATTAAGTATGATTACTTATTCGTTATTATTTTACTAATAAGGAAAATTAAGATAATTTATACTTAAAACTTAAAGATTTAACACTAGAAAGACGGGAGCAGTCATTTGACCGCAATTTGATTTTAAATGTTGAATAACTTGAAATCTACTTGAGTTTTTAAACTGAGACTTTGTGACTTTTATTTATTTTACTAGTTGAATGCAACTATGTATGAAAATAAATCATAACTCTTTTATTAATTATTTAAAATCTTGATCTACCGACAAAGACGGCGGCAGTCATTTGACTGCTGACAACCAATGAGTGTTTATAAGTGTAATATGAGAGGGTAGAATACAAATTATATACACTAATTCATTGTTTATAGTTTGCTTATCAAATGAGACCGTATCATTTCAAGTGTCTGTGAACTTATACGAAATTATTGAAATTAGTTTGTGGCCGCGACGTGTTGGAGTCTTGAAAATGAAAAAATGTTTTTTACTTCCAAAATATTTGTGAAGATGAGTCTGATTTTGACTCTAAAAATACAAAACGTGATAGCGACGACGATTATATGGTACTACTTGGCAGTTCGAATTCCTCTACGGACGGAAGTGACCTGAAAGACCAGATACTACGAGCAAATTTATCAGACGTTGACAGATCGCATTCTCGTGGTTGTAGTCGTTGCTGTGGTAGTGATAAAGGCTGTGAAAGGAGTTTGGAAGATCCTGAGCATCAAGGTCTTTTCACAACTACCGACTGTATGTTGTACACACCTCAAATGGCATCAACTCTAAGTGGTCAAATGTCGATGAATCTGTTGATACAGATGCGTCTTGTGAAACTTTTTGCAAATACTGGTCAAAATGTTACGAGCATCTCAAAGGTGAAATAGATTTTTTTATATATTCGAGACCTAGCAAAGATATAACATAATTTAGATAATTTACCTTTTTAGATATAATTCCTTCATTTGGTATAGGAAAATGTAGAATATTACATGAAACAAAGGCTATTTATACTAAATTCAGGGGGCGAACTTAGAAGCAAAGTATAAATTGAAGAAGACTCTCTGAAACTGAATCCTTGCCTGAATAGTCTAGATCTTTTAATTCACAATCTTCTGCACAAAATCCAGTAAATTCCAAAACATTATATAGATAAATGCAAATAAAAAACCCATAAAGAATGCGACAATTGCAAAAAGCCACTTTGCGGCTTTTGTAATGTAAACAAAATGATAAAATTAGAAATTCTATACATATTACTTAAATAAAAGTATATTATACCATGTTTAATACTATAGGTACCATTTCTAGCACTTAAACATAAAAAAATACCAAAAAAACTTGTAGCAGTCATTTGACCGCTCGCCGTCTTTGTAGGTAGATGATTTTTTCCGTCTTTCTAGTGTTAAGGCCATATTTGTGCTGAAAGTCTAGCAGTTATTTTGATAATTTGATTTTTAAGGGCAAAAATGTCAAAGTCAAAGCATTTATTTCAATTAATCGTTAATTAGGCACTTATTAACTTTCTGTCAGTGAAGCTAGGCGTGCGTTACAGAAAGGATCCACAAGAAATGTGTTCAACTTCATATAAGTCAAATAATGTTAAAAAAAACTAATAAGGAATAATATATGCGTTAGAAGAAAATATTTTCATTACTATTGTACCTTTGGTCCATGTAATTTGTCTGACATCATTCTGGCTAGCAGTTCGACTGCCGCCTCTCTCGTCTCAGGCAGCTTACTATTGCAAAACAGATCTAGCAAGTATATCACAGCACCTGTGAACACAAAGATAATAATCATTATATGTTAAGAACAACATGTTTGTAGAAGAAACCTTCATTAAATTTTATAGTGCGCAATCTATATTGGATTTGCGCAACGACTGCGCGAATATTTCATATTACGCTTAAATTTTAATCGTCATTGCGCTAACAGTTTCTATTGCGCAACCATTGCGCAATATTGACATTACACAACAAGCATAAGTACCTAACCAATACAGAAATATGTCGCTACATCATAACATACCTTTGTTGAGCGCCTCCCTAACAATAGCAGTATTAGCGAGTAGAGCCGCGAGTGCAGTCAATGTGGCCGGGCGCGGCGGCCGCTCGGCCAGCAGCGCGAGCAGGTGGCCCAGCACGGCACTGGCCGCCACGTCCTCCACGCACTCGCGCCGCGCCCCGGCACTGCCCACTACTCGGAGGGCTCCTTCCTGTAGCTGGGGGTGAGCTCGAGCTGACAGTAACCCGAAGATCAGACCGAACTGACCGATGCATTGGATCTCCGTACCTAAGAATAAACGCCCATTATTATCACTACTGCAACGTGAAAATGTTATGCAGACGATAAGAAATGTTAATATTTTTGGTCAATAACTAGGGGTACCATGCATACATAGGTACCCACATACACATAACCTCACGCTTGTCTCCCATGGGGGTAGGCAGAAACTATGGCACGCCAATTGCTATAATTCCTACATACCTCTTTCGCTTCATCAACAGTCATCAGTCTTCTCATACAAGCTCATCGGATGAGGATACTATTAATTTGGCCCTTCTTTAATAATTCGCCAATATGGTCAATATTAATATTAGACTAGGGTGCCCTCTACCGGCGGTCCCATTCGTATTAGCTCAGTATAATTCTTTCGTATGGGCATCAATAGGTGTTAATTATATCACAAATAGCATCCACATTTAATAACATGCTATATCCTATTTGTCGAACCATTAGCACACAAATTATTGGGCAATACCTACAACTTTGGTTACAACCTCAGACTTTTTCATTGCATCCAGAAATAAATAGAAACTGATATAGGTAGAACTTACCCGGGTTCTTGATGATAACATTAGCGAGTGCAGTCAATGCATATGTGACATGTTGCACTCTGTCCCCAGTCATGTCGTTTTGAGTCTCTTCCTGAATGAACTTCAGTAGTTCCAGGATGAATTGCTGTGGATTCTGGGGAAAACAGTAAAAATTGTTGAAAGCCATGGTTGAAATAAACTTAGTCATCAAAATCGTGAGGAATATAAAAAAATGCGCTAAAAATTATATAAAGAAGACATAAATAACTAAAAATTGGTAGGTATTTCAATCAACATTATTAGAAGAAACCAACAGTGGCATTGCGCAAAATTAGCGCAATTTTGCGCAATGCTACCGTTGGTTTCTGCAAGTTGACGTCATATCAAAAAAACAATAAAGAAAAATCTATTTCAGATGTATACAAAATTGTTCAACAGATATTAAACTCCTAACAAAACACCGTAATATCTTTCATAATCATAATAACAAAACACTAAAAACCATAGAAACTATGTGAAACTTACCTCAATAGGGAAGTCAGGCTGTTCATTATAGATGTCTATATACACCCCTCCGACCGACACAAGTCCTTCATGAGCGGAGTATGTAAAGGGCTCTATGATAGGTCCTTCGTCTTCCATCAGAGGGCGTGATTTGCGCAGCACGTCCTTCAGTTCTGCGCGAGTACTGTTGTCCCAAACTAGGTATGGCGTGCGCCAATTCGATGTTAATGTTTTTAGGAGCTGTGGATAAGAAACGATGTGGTTAAATGAGATAAGTTTTAAAGATGGGTTAGTTGTTAAATGGAGGAAATATGTTTAGTGTTGCAAACGTCCATCTGTTACGATAACAGGTATACACAAGGAAGAACAGTGAGCTGGTTTGTCATCTTTTCTAAGGTGTACAGAATGTATTACTTTATCTTACAAAATTGTAAAAAATTTAACGAATAAGTCTGACAATTGTAATAAAAAGCAAAAAATACTGGACAAACATTAAAGAAGCTAAACGAATTAAAAAAATATATTGTTGGTCTAGTTTTATAGCACAATAGTTTTCATCTACAACAGTGCGATTACTCGAAAAAAAAAATCTGAACATACCTCATGTTGATCAGGTTCCGCGAGTCTCCCACATAGATAGGGCGTAAGTAACAAATGTAAGGAGTTCGCAATGTTCTCGTCCAGCGGTGACGCAGTAGTGTGGGGCCCGTACATCGCCGCTAGCGCTACTACGCACTGCTTCGCTAGTTGATTTGCTACCTCCTGTGATAATATAGATATTTATGGAGTTTATTAAGAGACTTGAAAAAATTTTGTGTTTTTTTAGGATTTTCATGGCTGAAAGGATATTTATATTATAAGTTATAACGTTCGTGAGTCATACTAAATTAATTATTATGTTTTTCGGCTCACTCGCTTCATTACACGTATTAGAGTAGCAGCAGTTGAACCTAGTCGAATTAAAAGGATAGTTCTCAGCAGAGAAAAATCAAACAAGTTTATTAACAGTAGTTGTGAACCTTTAACAATATAAGAATTCGTTCTTATGTGTTATATTGTCAAATATTTCTCGTTAAAAAACGGATTATAAAAAGATGGGGAGATGAAATTTCTTAAGTTAACTTAGGGACTTTTACGGGCTGCACCTTAGCCACATGACCACAGAGTTTACGTCCAAAAGATTATGTTCCTGATTAAATCATATTAATGAATAAGTTTGGCTCAAAAATAGCAAAAATAGCTCTTTTAGTAACACTTTTAACTGGTCACGAATATATTTTATTTAATAAAACTGAAATGCTTAAAAACCAATGCAAACTAATTAGAAGCTTACTTCAAAAATTGAATATAAAGAAAAGGTGTTTAACTATAATGACCACCAAGACTGAAAGAGTTAAAAAACACATAACATAATATCACGCTTATTATCCTTGAAGGGGAAGCAGAGGTGCACATTATGGCACTTAATGCCACTGTACAATGTAACACCCACTTTTCACT